CCCCACGGCGCCCGCGGGCGGGGAGGGCGCGCTGCTGGCCCCGGCCCCCGGGCTGCTCCGGCCCCCGCCCCCCCAGTGCCCGGTGCTCTCCCCGTGGGCCAGCAGCAGCGCCCCGCTGACGTCGTGGGAGAGTCGCCGCAGAGCCATCTCGCGGACGTTCCAGTTTCTAGAAAACAAGCAGCCAACGAGCTCCGTCCCAAACACCTGCAACCAAACAGCCCCTCAGTGGAAGGAAGGAAGGAGCGGCCGAGTCTCCTCTCAGCCCCAGGACAACGGGCCTTCCTTCCATACATGTGTGTCTACGTATGTGTGTTTGAAACGTCAGAGAGAGGGAGGGAGAGAGGGAGAGAAACATCACTGATAAGAGAGAACCATGGATCGGCTGCCTCCTGCACACCCCTTCTGGGGATCAAGCCCACAACCCGGGCTTGTGCCCTGTCCGGAAATCGAACCCTGACCTCCTGGTTCACAGTTCCATACTCAACCACTGAGCCCCGCCACTGTAATTTTTTAGATGTTATTATTTTTTTTTATTTTTTTTATTGCTAAAAGTATTACAAAGGGTATTGCATATGTGTTCTCCCCCCGCCATTCCCGCCGCAGTTTGACAATCTGTTTGAGGCAGAGATGTTATTTTTAATTGATAAATTGGGCATTTCTTTTCTTTAAAAAAATCTCTTTATTGATTTCATAGAGGAAGGGAGAGGGAGAGAGAGAAACATCAATGATGACAGAGAATCACGGATTGGCTGCCTCCTGCATGTCCCACACTGGGGATCGAGCCTGCAACCTGGGCACGTGCCCTGACTGGGAATTGAACCCTGGCCTCCCGGTTCATAGGTTAACATTCAACCACTGAGCCACGCCAGCCGGGAGACTGGCTATTTCTTAAACCTTCACTGCACCACACAATTTCGAGTACGTCCAGCCACTTAAAAACCGTAAGGAGGACCCTGCCGGGCGGCTCAGCTAACCAGAGCATCGCCCTGTGCTCTAAATGGCTCAAGCAGGAGACAATCGATTGATGTCTCTCTCTCTCTCTCTCTCTCTCTCTTCCTCTCTCTGAAATAAACTAAAAAATCATAAGAAGGAATTTTAGCCTCAGGTTGAACTGTAATTATTAGCTGAGGTGAACTCAGGAGTGACTCCAGTGAGGGGATGGGCACACGCGTGTCACACTTATTTCTGTGCTCCTCTGCTTAACAGCAACACGGCAGGGAAGACCCAGCTCCGTGTTTGCGTCATGGGAGTTTATGGAGAAAAACAAGCAAGATCAAGAAAAGCCGCCTCAAGAAAGGCCCCGTGGGGGTGGGAGGAGCCTGGTCCCATGGGTGACCGTGGTGAGACCAAGGCTTTTACTTGAATTCGTCTTGTACAAGAGTTAGACCAACTAGACAGAACAGGCGGGACTGTAACTAAGGAGTGAAAATCCAAGACGAAAGGAAAATTCGTGTTCAAACCAGCGAGGGAGACTCGGCGTCTGCGTGAAGGTGCGTGTCATCACCTGTGAAGCCACCGAGAACTCGGCAGGAAGGGGGCCGGGTCTCGAGATGACGGGCCAATCAGCTACAAGTAAACTTAACACCTGCGATAACTTACATGGAAGATTTCTAAATATCAGAGATGAAGAGACAGTTCTGGGGAAAACAAATGATGTATTTACCTGTGTATTTAACAAAGTGACATAAAAGCAAATGAATCAACAAGAAATAGGGACTGATTCTGCGCCCGCTTGTTAGCATATGGCTAAGCCCTAGTTCTGTCTCCCGGGATCTTCTTCCTCAGAAACTGGGAACATGCAGCCTCGTCCAACCTAGAGCTTCCGCAAAACCAACCGACCACGGCCTGGAATCGCCAATATCTCCGTGTCGACGCCAGAGCTCTCCTGGGGACTTGGAAAGGGGCAGGCGAGGGCCTATACAAATGCCATGAGTGAACCAGGCAAAAGAAATAAGATACACTCACTAAGTTTGCAGATGTTACTAGATTCATAATAGGTTGCTGAGAACAGAGAATTCAAAAGCTGCGGGACATGCAGTGAAAGGAAAGAAGTCCTAATGGCACACAAGCTTGACGGGTTATTGTGCCTGTTTACAAATGAAGAGCAGGAAACAGAACCGAACAGGTTATCAGAAATACTCCACTCCTCTGTCTCCTGAAGACACTGTCCGCTTTGAATTCTATTTAAAACTAACGGACTAAACAAGCAACTGAAATTCCAACTGACCGAGAACAAAAAGCCTCAGTCGGCAGAGAAGGTGGAGGAAGGAAACCCTTCCTATAAAAATGGCCAAGAGGAGACACGCCGCCTGTCGGCTCTCACACACCCGCCTGTCGGCTCTCACACACCAGCCTGTCAGCTCTCACATACCCGGCAGCGAAGCACCTGCTAAGTGGGCGGGTGGCACAGGGAGGAGGAGCTGAGTTTCAGTGGCAACAGGTGAGAACTATGACGAACCCAGTGGGATGGACTGGACACAGGCAGGAGCGCCCTGAGGCCTGGAGCCTGGACAACCGTCCGTCTCTGCCCAGACAGGAGTTGCAGGAGACGCTGATGCGGACGCTCCATGAAGCGGCACAGCCCCATCGCCAAAGGGGCCAATGTCTCCAGGCAGAGAGCAAGCCCGTCCTTACTGTCTACACCCGGGAGACACGCTGGGCTCACCTGGATCCAGGGCTCAGCCAGGTCTCTGTAGGCAGCAGGGATGTGCTGGGCCCCGTAGTGCGTGAGGCCGGAGCTGCTTTCCTGG